TAGTATAATAAATTGAACATGGAATTTTAATTTATCTGCACTTGGACTTTACCAGTGATTAACAATTGACATGAGATTGGAAGTGCTTTTAAAATGGGCACACTCTCCCTTTAGGAGATGGCTACTCTGTACATCCTCTTGATATCAGTTGGGTTTTAGCAATTGTACAGAAATAACTCGAGCTGTTGACCACGTGGTACTTGGCATTTCCATCCGGGGAGTTTTTCTGATCCACCTCATTGGTGTGTTACACCTTACAGCAGCTGGGTAAAGAGCCCTGTCATGTTCTTTGGGGTAAGTCCTGGTGCTGCAGTGGTTATGTGTTGGGCTGCTAATGGAAAGGTCAGTGGTTCATACCCGCCAGTGGCTTTGACCTCTCAGCTTTGAATGAAACAAACCTAGCCGATCCCCGTGGAAGCTCCCGTTTTGATTGAGGCCTCTGTGGCCGTTACTTCTGCTGTCTTGGGTGGACGGAACTGACCCAGTGCCCGTGGATTGTGGAGACTGGATCGTCATGTAATGAAGACTGCTGGTAACCCTGAGCTCAAGTGTGACTTTGCTAAAATAACTTTCTTTCTCTGTGAATTGATGTAAGCACGGTTTCACCATTGGTCAACCTGCTCAAAATTGCAGTTTTTTAGTTAAAAACTGGTATATGTTTTTTTATTAATGGCAATTTATTTAAGCCTTACCTGGCTACTTTGAGAAACAACAATGCAAAAGTAAGTCAAAAAGTTTTTCCGCAAAATTATGGTAACCTTTATTAAACAAAAATACCCAGTATATGAAGTTATTGTTTCTTCATATATTCTTCATCTAGGTCTGTACACTTTTGATGGTAATGTTTCTATCTCTGTAACCCTTACCCTGAAAATTTTATACCCTATGAGTCAAATTGCATTCCTTTTAAATGGTCTTTGAGTTTTAGGAACAAAATAAGCCTAAAAGGGCAAGATCAGGCTTGTAGGGTGAATCGGCAAAGGTTTCCCAGTGAAATTCTCCTAAGACAGTTACCCATGAAGAAAGAAGCATAGATCTGATGGGAAAAATTCCTTGTTGCAACTTTCCTAGCCTTTTTCTCACCAATGCAGGTTTTTTTCACTTCTCTTAAAACTCTCTTCTCGTCCGCCCCTGTGAGAGGATCACAGGGATCCTCTCACGAAGGATCACGCAGGAGGCTGCGTCCTCTGAGGAACTATATCAAGACGAACCCTCTAATCCCCAACACAGGTGCCATCATCTTCTGGGCTGACCTCTCAGCTTTGAAGGAAACAAGCCCAGCAGAGCCCCGGGAAGCTCCGTTTTGATGGAGCCTTTTTGTTGGTGAAGGTCATCATAGTGATGACACTCACTCACCCGCCTTGAGTCCGTGTCAGTTCTGACACAGGCGAGGACAACTGCCCCTTTGAGTTGCTAAGGCTGTAAATCTTGACGGGAAGTTCTTCCTAAACCAAGGGCACTGTGCACATTGCTTCTAGGCTGTGTACCTTTTTTTATATTAGCTTAAACTACTAAATTTGCTTTCCGGAGCACTCCGGCTCAATAATGCAGCCAAGCTATTCTGAGCTATGGACCTCCTGAATCCTTCCCTCTGGAAGGGGGTGGGGTTGGGGTTGGGGAGCAAAGCAAGGGACAGTTGAAAAGGAAAGAATTCGGGGACAATCAACTACAGGCCCTCTGTTCCTGTCAGAGAATTCCAGTGCCAGTGATATTAAGTTGGAATCAACTCCACGGCTACTAGGAAATCTACATTAAAGCTGAGTGAACTTCCTTGCTTAACTTTCAGATCAATCACATGCATTATCTATTTAATTTTTATTATGGAAATTACCAAGCATATGCAAAAATAGAGAAACTAATATCAGGAATGCCCATGCCCCTGTCATCCGGTTTTCAGAGAGTGGGTGCATGGCAGTTTGGGCGTTAGTCCTGGCAGCTTGGGTGCTGGGGGGGGGGGGGCACGGCAGGAGCTCCGCTGGCGTGGTCTGGGATTGCACACTGGTTCTGTGCCTCCCAGGCCTTTTCCTTTATACTCCTTGCCCTTTGACCATGGAATTGCTCAATGCATTTCCAAAAAATGTAGAAAAGAAACTAGGCTGGTAAGAACTTCACCGTTTTTAAAAGACTTTGCAAAATGAGATTCATGCTCAAATGTAATACTATTGGCATTTAAGATTACCATTAATTGGTGTATCAATATATTTTTTAAGTTTTCTGATTTCACTTAATTTTAATGTCATTTTTATCAGATGGTTGAGTTGAAGGTACAGTAAAATTGGCTGAATAATAATTCCGGTGATACTGCTGTGGTGATTACATGACCTTGAGGTAAAATATTTGCAGTAGTTCATAGTACAACATAAAATTGCAATGCCTCAAGCTTACTTTGTGGAAATAAATACATTGCTTGGCACAGATTTTAAATAATGAGAGACAACAACAGTGCTTTTTAAATTGTTAGGCCAATTTAACTTGCCCTTGAAAACGGCTTTTGAGAGCTCATTGATCTCTGTGGTCTATGTGTGATGAGTTCCCACCAGCGGCTGGTGGCTGCCAGCTTCTGTTGGCTTCAGAAAGAGCGCCATCCCCTCCCCCTCGGCGCTTCCCCCCCCAATGCAGTTGGGATGTTTGTGCAATTCTTGTATTGCTGAAAGAGAAGATGTTGAGAAACCAGCTGGGTGAATTCCTTCCCAGACTTCTCTAAAGCCTGGACATGTATGCTGAAAATCAGTTCTGGAGCCATGTGATAATGGTAAATATGCTGGCTGAAGATTTGACAGCTTGTGGAGTTTGATTGGAAAAAAAAGAGAGAGGGTTTTATGAAATCCACACTTTCGCTCTTCCCCAGTTATTAGCCTCTGTTGAGGTGACCGATTCATGGCGAGCCCACGGAGAACAGAGTGAAAGCAAATCCAGCATACATCTGTTTGTTTGATTGTATGCATGTAATTGATGTATTCAACAGTTGATTCCTTGGGTGCATAGCCATGTCTTTGAGCGCCTTTCGACCAAGGGAGCTCATCTTCCAGCATTATATTCTGTTGTGATCTATAGAGTTTCCACTGACTAGTTTTTGGGGAGTAGATCTACAGGCATTTTATTCCAGCCTTAGCCTGAAAACTCTGTTGAAACCTGTCCATTTTGAGTGGCCCTGCTGGTATTTGAAATGCTGGTGCCATAGTTTCCAGAATTATAGCAACATGCAAACCTCCATAGGACACATCTACCTGGTAAATATTGTGGGTTCTATTCAGACAGTCACAATAAAATATTGTAGTAAACCAAGTCATGCCAACTTTTGGTTTTCTAATAGCAAAAAATGGCCTGGAGGTATGGTGTCTGACTTTTTCTGACTATACCAGGGAGAAGGTGAGTCAAATTCTTCCACCCAAGACTGATTCCTTTAAGGTGAAGGTCATACATGCCTCCATCCTCAAACTTTCTTAACACCTTTCCCTTCCATGGCACTCTCTACTTGTGAGCTGGGTTCAATAATTCATTGCTAGGGTCTCACAGACCAACTCAGTCTGAACTTTATTAGAAGTTAGCGGGTTAGTATTACTAAGAAAAATGTTAAAGATTAGAGCAGAGCAGCCTTTTTTCAGCCATATCTGCTGGAAGACATCTCTTGGGTACTTGACCTCTCAGCCAAATGATCCCTTGACCTCTGCCCTATTCCTGCAATGTCATAGAGCTTATTTAGTCACGCTGATAAGTGCCCATAGGGCATGAGACTCCTACAGAAGCCTTACCCCAAGGGAACTCAGCTGTAGCCAGTTAAGGGCCTGAAGCCACCCCGTCCACAAACTCATTACTAGAGGAAAAGAAGGCAGTATTATTCAATCACTTGCAATATGCTGAGAACCTAGTTTTTAAAAAAGGTTCATTGTGACGAAGCATTCCATAACTTTTCCACTACCTATCTGTAAGTATGTTGTACAGACATGCTATGTATTGTTGTGCTTCATTTTTCTGAGCCTTATAGATATGGGGTTTCTTGCAAATCAAAGATCTGTGGCAGCCATGTCCCAAGAGCATATGCTCACTTGGTGTCTCTGACACAATTTTTGGTGATTCTCACAATATTTCAAATGTTTCATAATGCTATTCACAGTTAACTGATTCCAGCACAGGATAAACATAACTTTTCTATGCACTGGTATGGTTCAGTGAATTAATTGATAGGACTCTGAGTCATAATCTTTAAGATTCTCATCAAATGACTCTTTCCTTACAAGTAGGGGGAAGAAAAGGTAGGGGGGTAGAAGCTGATAGAATTTAGTAGTTTAAAGCTAACATTAAAAAAGTTACACAGCCTAGAAGCAATGTGTACAGTGCCCTTGGTTTAGGAAGAACTTCCCGTCAAGATTTACAGCCTTAGCAACTCAAAGGGGCAGTTGTCCTCGCCTGTGTCAGAACTGACACGGACTCAAGGCGGGTGAGTGAGTGTCATCACTATGATGACCTTCACCAACAAAAAGGCTCCATCAAAACGGAGCTTCCCGGGGCTCTGCTGGGCTTGTTTCCTTCAAAGCTGAGAGGTCAGCCCAGAAGATGATGGCATCTGTGTTGGGGATTACCCTGACTGGCTCATCTCTTCCCGGTGACTCCTCTGTGAGGGGATGTCCAGTTGTCTACAGATTGGCTTTGGGTCTCCACTCCATGCCCCCGCCACCCCCCATTCACCTTGGGTATGATTTTGTTTTGGGTCATAGATGCCAGGTACCCAATCCCATTGACACCTCATGATCACACAGGCTGGTGTGCTTCTTCCATGTGGGCTTTGTTGCTCAGCACATTTTTAATGCAGTTTGTGTGGTAAAATTAGGTGCCTCGGCTGGTATTCGGGTCAGCTTATACTCGAGTATATATAACTGAGTGGTTAAATTGGGGATCATGCTCTTCTCACATTCTGTTCTATTTAGCTTACTCCGAGTACTTGGTGACAACCCTTTGTGAGTGGCTTCCAGTCTTCACTGTCTTCCCTTGGTTTGACACAGGTCACCACAAATGGCATCATCGCGATGAGTGAGCCCCCAGCAAAAGAGTCCCATCCTGGACTCTTCCCACCAACCTTTGGGGCCATCGCACCTTTCCTGGCTGACTTGGACACCACAGATGGCCTTGGGAAGGTTTATTATCGGGAAGACTTCTCTCCTGCTGTCGCTCAAATGGCCACAGTGTGTATCCAGCGAGGGTTCCCAGAAGTCTCTTTCCAGCCCAGTAGTGTGGTGGTTGTCACTTGGGAATCCGTGGCTCCCTACCAAGGGCCCGACAGGGACCCTACCCAAGAAGGCAAGGTGAGTACTCATGCAGATGCCAGTGCCGGCGGTCGAACAGATTGTTTTTGCACTCTGGTCTTCTGGTTCTTGTTGCTTTGATACATATCAAATGTGTGTTACTGGTAGACATGAAATTCAAAGCAAATCTACTAGGTTGATTCTTTCCAGTTCCAAAATTCACAAATTTATTTGCAAAGCTATATAAATCTATGTGTCAATGATGATTAGATATAAAGCAAGCCAATGTCTGAGAGGATTACTACCTCACCAGACTTGCGTTGATGATAGTGTGCACTACCTGTATTTGACTTTTGGTGGTGAAGAGTGGGGAGGGATAGTTTCTAATAAACAGACGTTGTTCATATGAAACGATGGTCTTAAAATAACATTGTGGTCCTAAGGCGTGTGAAGAAATGGTGACCAGGATCAGCCCTCTAGTTGAGGAGTTAGGAATTGTTTGCACATGGGTGGCTGAGAAAGCAAATGCTAGCCCCATTTAGGGTTGGCATCCATCCATGTGGGCTCAGTGGAAAGACTTGCAGGTTTGCTAGGAGTTGGAGTTAATTCAGTGGTAATGGGTGGGGGTGGGGGTTGTTTGTTTCTTTGTTTTGAGAGCTCGGACTTGCCATTGATGGAAGGGGCATCTCTGGATAGGTTGTGAAGCCATCCTAGGCCTGAGTTGATTTTAAGACATACCTCCGTTTTTCTTGGAAAAATAATTTCTGTCCATTATTGTTTAGTTTTTACATGATTGCAGGATAGAAAGGAACATCAAAGTTATAAAATGTCTGTGCCTCAATGGTAGTTGTTCCCAAAGGCTGACCACAGCACCTAGTCCTAGAAGATAGTCTTCCTCAGAGAAAGGCCTCCTTGGGGACACACTGAAGAGTCCTGCTGTAAAGAAATCTGCTTAGTGGTTAACCTAGCATTTGCTATACATGTTTTTAACATACTTTCTCTCTCCTCAAATAAAACAAATTACTTCCCACAGAACATATTTTGGGAAAGCCTATGATGGGGCTTTTGACATATGTTGTTTTGCCAAATATTATTAGTCTGTATGCCATGATTGAAAAGCTGCCTAATATCGCACAGTTCTTTTTCACTTGCATGATAAACAGCCAGTTCTGGGCTCTCCCTGTCTCTGTGCCTTAACCTCTTGTAACTCTGTGTTGTACATGCTGAACAGCAGCTGTGCCCAATTATTTACAATTCCCTGATCATGCTTATTTTTTGGCTTGTTTTGTTTTTAACTGCAGGCTCTTGCAAATGCTATCTGCTCTACTGCTGATGTCCTTTCTGTGACCCCCTTGACTGAACTTGAATTCTGTTTGCTCATTCAGACTTGATCATGAGGCTTTAACCAAGTACCACCTCCTCCTACGCCCATTCTCCTGAGGGCTGGGGCCCTTCCTCCTACCCCTCCTCTAGCTCTTTCTATACATGCCTATTATAGAATCCTGCTCTACATTTTGTAATGCTTGGTTCATGGATCCGTTTTATCAATACCTTCTCTAGTGCCAGGACCATGGATTTTAATTCATAGTCTCCACAGAATTCAGGAAACTCACTGCCATTACATTGATTCTGACTCATAGCAACCCTGTAGGACAGAGTACAAAGGGCTTTCTGGATTTCTGAGGCTGTAAATCTTTCTGGGAGCAGAAAGCCTCATCTTTCTCCTGGGAAACAGCTGGTTGTTAGCTACCCAATACATAGCACGCACTGTCACCAGGGCCCCTTGCTTACAGGAAAGGTACTAACATTTATGAGGTGCTTCCTCTGTGCCCCTTCATAGGCTATCTTGTGTAGTCGTCATGACATTTCTATGAAGTAGATAGTTTTATCTGCTTTTTATAGAAGCAAACCCTAAGGCTTATAGGGTAACATGTCTGAGGTCATAAAACCAATCAAGAATAGAGCAAGAATTCAGATCTAGGTCTGTTTTCCTGCCAACACTCAGGTTTGTTTGTTTGTTTCCCTATGGTATGTATGATTTGGGGGCTTGGTAAATATTTGCTGGATGGTGTCTATGGTTGAACATGGTTAACGTCCATTCTAAGGAATAAGAATCCCCCAAGTTAAATGAGATTTAGACGACTCTCTGGAGTTACAGTGATCTTAGAGTTACATGAGCTTAAGATAGCTCAGTGGGTAGTACTTGGTCCTTGCTACCAGAGTACTTATTTTAGAATGAGATGGGTCTACTGCCATCTCTTTTTAGTACTTTCTATGTAGGAACTTCTGGTGAACCTCACATTAAGGTCTTGAGATACTTTCCTGAGTAACTGCATTTTAACTCATCTTTACAGAGAAACACATTCCAAGCTGTCCTGGCCTCCTCGGATTCCAGCTCCTATGCCATTTTCCTGTACCCAGAAGATGGTCTGCAGTTCTACACAACATACTCAAAGAAGGACAGGAGCCAAGTCCCCGCTGTGGTTGCGTTCAGTCAAGGTTTAGTGGGAATCATATGGAGGAGCGACGGTGCTTATAATACATTTGCAAATGACAGAGACTCCATTGAAAACTTGGTCAAGTATGCTTTCTTTGTCCTTCAATAAATTTTCCCCTGAACAAAATTTATAATTTCTTAAGGATAATAGTATGGGTTTTAAAAATCATTACAAAAATCTTCCCACAGACTTAAACTTCTCATCTAACCGTTCTATTATATAGTACTCTTCCCCTGATAACCTCATGGTAATATATTCATAGAATAAGCTAGTGTCCTGATTTTTAAATATCGTCCTTGAACATTTTCTACCATTTTCCTATTAAATGTTATGTTAGAAATGGGTTATTCAAACATGCCATTCCATAAACAATAGACAAGAGCTCCCTTATCCCCCACCAACTGATGTTTTTCTTCCAACGGAAACAGTCCTCTCTCATCTTAGTTTGAAAATTTTGGTAAAAGGAGAAACCAAGACTGTTTTTTCAAAGACTGATATATTTTCTCTCTCCATATTCTGTTTTACAAAAAAGAACTGCCCTCTCACTAAGTTCTTATTGTCAAGTCTAGAGGGTAAATTCCACGTTGCTAGTACGATGGCAGACTTGAGAAACAGCGAGGGGCTTCAAAATGTTGGGGGAAAAGTTAAGTTAAAAGACAATGGAATTTTTCCATGAGCTTTTTGAAGTACCCTCATATAATATGATAAAGAGATTCCACTACAAAAAGTAAAATATACTTAAATAACTTCAACAACATAAAGAGAATAGTAAAATGATTAGGATGCACTGAGATTTTAGTACTTATTTTTGTTTTTGATTGAGTTTACTTAGTTTTATAGTGTGTAACTAATTTTTTACAATGACTGTGTGTACTGACTGGCTTGCAAGCACAATTGGCCATCATGAGTTAATGCAAAATGGTCACACACCCTACTGTCATTATCTGAGTCTAAAGCGGGAGGTTGGTATCCTATTTCTGTAATATTTTCTTCACTATTCATTGTCCATCCCACTCTGACTTTGTTCGGTTCTCACAGAAGATCCATTCTGAGTAATCAGCATGCCCTGTGTTTTCTATCTTGTGATCTAGTCATTTAATATAATTTCTAATAGGAAGAATATTTTCCAATCACAGATGATTAAGAATAGCAAGAAGGGTGGAGCAAAAGGTAGAAATTCAGGTTATTGTGTCGTGTTTGATCATTGTAACAATGGGCTCCAGCACGGCATGGCTTGTGAGGATGGTGCAGGACTGGGCAGTGTTGCATCCTATTTTGCGTGGGTTGCTAAGAGTCAGGGCTGACTCAATTGTGTCTAACATCAACATCTTTGAGCACTTAAAGGTAAACAGAGCTCTCCATGATCCTTCAGTCAATGTATATAATGCCATGGAGAAAGAATCGTTAAAAGATTGTTTATATGATAGGGCTTGATAAGTATGAATAGAATTTTAGGGCCTGGACCAGAGCCCTCCAATAACAAAGAGTTAGACAGCTCAAGGGCTTGCCCATTTGTATAAATCATCACGGAGTAGCTGAGGACCGTCTCAGCACTGCACTGGTCAGACATGACCTCATCTCGAGTCCTTTCTGTAGTTCCCCTAGGCAATTGGCTTCATACAGTCAGAGATACTACAAACGTGGATGTCCCAACAGGGATGGTGGGGGCTTTATGTAGTTTGTTGGCTTATTTCCAGGATGCCTGTCTTTCTCCCGTAGGAGGAGCAACTCGGGGCAGAAGGGTGTCTGGGTGTTTGAGATTGGAAGTCCAGCCACGACCAATGGGGTGGTACCTGCTGATGTGTACCATGCACTTGATGATGAAGCAGAGTATGAAGAGGAAGAGGAAGACTATGACCTGGTAACAAGACTGGACGTGGAGGACGTGGCCGCCACCACCGTCCCCTACGAGACTCTGGGAAGGAGAGACACAGACACCTATGATTTGCCAAGTGCCCTCTCTCCACAACACACAGCAAATGAGAGTCCCCAGGAACAGCCCATGGTGAAGGCCAGGTCCTTCCAATTACCAGTGGAAAGGGTTTCCCAGCAGCACCCACAGGTGATAGATGTGGATGAAGTTGAGGAAACAGGAGTTGGTAAGGCCTTTTAATTTGCATTTGGTACATAATCAGACACCTTGAGCTTTTTTCAAGCCGGAGTCGTATTGGAAGGAATGCCAATTGTGTGCGTATATAGTGATGGATAAGAATGAGAACCTACGGTGGTTGGGGCTGAATTTTTGCTGAGATGGAACGTTGGTTTATAGGCCTGCTAGCGTCAAAGAATCCAAATAATCACTTTGTCCTAGGTTGTGCTTATGGAGACTGATGAGAGTGAGTGTGTTCTTTCCCAGGAGTCTATGCTGTTTGTTTTGCAAGAGAAAAGTGCTTTAGCAATATTTTACAAGTCAGATGTTCTTATTTGTGTCTTCTAAAATCAGAAATATATTCAGGCACCTGGAAAAACATTGTAGCAGTTTCTTTGGCTGAAAGAGCAGCTTATCTTTGACATTTATTTCCTCTTGGCTTTGGAATTACAAAAATTCTGATTATTTTTCCTCTCAAGTCATATCAGTTTCCGAGTTGCTTTGTGAGGATAAAGAATACAAAATACATGGCTTCCCCTTTAAACTTCGTTTTATACTTTAGTAGCTTCTAGTCAAGATATTATATCAGGATTTGGCTAACCCATAGCACTCCCAGGGCTGCTTCTATTCCTGTAGAAAAATCTCCGAAATTCTCATTCCATAAGCAATTACTTGAAGATAGGCCTTCTCAACTCCAATAACTATGACTGTGTAGTATTGGATATGAGCAAAAGCCTAGATTTGAACACACAATGTGTCTAAAATAGATGTTTTTCCATCCTTTATTATAATTTTTGCCACTGTTTTTATTAAAAAGATCAGTAGACTACAGTGCATTTTATTCATGTTCGTCCATGGATATGCAGACCATAATGGACCAATGAAAAGCTGGGTATACAGTTTGAACTTAAGCAATCGGTGAGGTCACGTGTGTGTATATAGTAAGGCTCAAGTCTTCTCAGCTCCAAATACTGTGCTTATAGGCATTGTATATTCCCTTTTGAACATGTGGTATTAGTATATCCAAATTTGTACTGTAATCTTCACTCATGGTAGTATATTACAGATTACATTTCTATCTCCTTCTGTGCTTTTGAACTGTATCCCATTTGCTCTGGATTATTAAATTTAATGAGTTAGTTCATAATTCTAATAAAATAAACAGGGGAGGTCAGACTTTAAAGAGAAATTATTTTTGTTCTGTGGATCAAAGGCTTTTAGACCAGGTATGACTATGAAGTTGTTACCGATCGGCTTTTGCATATACGAGCAAGAACTTCCGAGTTATCCCTTGGGAGGAATGGGGACACAAGTTTTTAAAAATATGTTTTAGGATGCCCCCTGATCTTTTGGGCTATATTAAATGAATAACATCCTTAATTTTGTTTATGTTACACATCTCAAAATTGATACTGAATGGCAATAACCACACATTGATATAGCAGTACATTAACTTAATAGAAATTTTAAATAATTCATTCTTGTGATCTCTCAATCTGCTCGTAGACCCACTTGGCTAGGTTGTCTGAGTCATTACTATTATATTATTTAAGTAACTACTTACATTTGCCAGTCTATGATAAGTCTCTTAGCCTTGGACTTGCCTAACATAAGTTTGGCTTCCTGCAGGCCTACCTTGTACTTGTGTAAGTTCTCTGCAGTTGAGTGAGACTTCACAGCCGTGTTATTGTCTGATTAGTTTTCAGCTACAATACTGACTCCCAGCAGACATGTGCCAACAACAGACACCAGTGCTCCATCCACGCAGAGTGCAGGGACTATCCCACTGGGTTCTGTTGCCGCTGTGTGGATGGCTATACAGGCAATGGCAAGCAATGTGTCGCTGAAGGTAAGTGGCCCTTTTTTCATATCAAATTTGTGTAGGGAGATGGTGGAGGGGACGGAATTTGTATGTTTCTAAAGTTTTTTTGAGTCTGGAGATGGGTAATGTTTTAGTATATGTCTCATCACTCATCTCCAGTCCTTCCCACACTTCACTAGGGCTAGCCATCCTGAAATCTTCATTTTCCTGGGTTCCATGCTTTCTCTCCGTCTATGAGGTAACAGCTGCTTGGAGCCTATCTTGGAAACTTAGTAAAAGGCTGCAGGATTGAAATTTTAAAACCTGGACTAGGGACTGTTTACTAATGTGAATGCTTTTCATTTTGCCAATTTCTTGCAGGCGTCTTTTGCCTTTGCCATTAAGTTGTCCAAATCTTGATTAATATTTTCATCAAATCTTAATGACTGTTAAACCCTGGCAGTGCCACAGACGCTGTTTTGGACTCGAGTTTATAGTGGGCAAAGTTTATCTGGTCATCTTTCTCCTCGTGTCCCCGAAATCATCGCCTAGCACCTGAATCTAGAGCATTAAAACTTCTGGGACTAGCACCCAAATGGATTCAACTGTGAGACGGTATCACTTCTGAACACTGCCCACAAAAGGACCAAATAGTCCTGATGCGCTCAGATGATCAGAAGCAATCTTTGTACAACTCTAGAGAATTCCATTTTTACTTAGAGAGTTAGACCTATGAGGGGGGAAAAAACAAATCCCAAACCATTTACCATCAAGTTGATTTTGACTCATGACAACCTCATGTGTGTTACTGGAACTGTGCGCCACAAGGTTTTCATTGCTGCCCTGTTATTAGATAAGTCATTTCTTCTGACAATGGGCGTGTTTGAACACCAATCTTTTAGTTAGTAGGCAAGTAATTAACTGTTTGTGCCACCCAGGGACTCTGCCGTAGAAGGATCTGAAGCTGTAGATGAGAACTTAAACTAGGGTGACTGGATTTAAAGTGGGACACCATTGACCGGAGGGCCTGAGGGGGCAGGTTCTTGATTAAAAGTTTGGTCTGTGGAGATCCCCTTGCAGAGGGGTCTCGGGGAGGAGATGAGCCAGTCAGGGTGCGATGTAACAACAATGAAAAATACAACTTTCCTCTAGTTCCTAAATGTTTCCTCCCCGCTCCCACGACCATGACTCGAATTCTACCTTGCAAGTCTGGCTAGACCAGAGGGTGTACACTGGTACAGATAGGAACTGTAAATCCAGGGAATCCAGGGCGGATGAGCCCTTCAGGACCAGTGGTGTGAGTGGCGATACTGGGAGGGTAGAGGGAGAGTGGGTAGGAAAGAGGGAACCGATTATAAGGAACTATATGTGACCTCCTCCCTGAGGGACAGACAACAGAAAAGTGGGTGAAGGGAGATGTCAGACAGGGCAAGATATGACAAAATAACAATTTATAAACTATCAAGGGCTCATGAGGGAGGCGGGAGCGGGGAGGGAGGGGAAAAATGAAGACCTAATGCCGAGGGTTTAAGTGGAGAGAAAATGTTTTGAGAAAGATGAGGGCAATGAATGTACAAATGCGCTTTACACAATTGATGTGTGTATGGATTGTGATAAGAGTTGTATGAGCCCCTAATAAAATGATTTAAAAAATTTTTTTTTGGTCTATGTGGACCAAAGAGACCGTTCCCTAGCTTGTCGTGCATTCTTTCCAAAAATCGGGACTGTTTTAAAATGCCAAAAATCGGGACGTCTGGTCGCCATAACTTAAACCAAACCAAAAAGGGACCCCCTGGACCCCCAGCCACACACACTGATAATTTGTGCCCTCCGATGCCAACAAGTTGCCTCACTGTATCGTAGGAAATGTTTCTTGGGCATTCAATGAGAAACCACAATTGCTCTGCAAAATTTGACAAAATAAAATTCAGCTAGAGGAATGCTTTGCATTTTTTTCAGCTCCCATGTCATTGCTATACTTAAATCATGTATAATTTTAATTTGCTTTTTTTTAAAGTTGGATTTTCTTTTCTGGATCAAATTTAGATAAGGCAATGTTTTGTTTTTTTAATGCTACCTTCATCTAAGGAAAAAAATGAGTATAATTTCTCTATTAACTTTTTGGGATGTTTCAAATTTCTTTAAATGTGGGCTCTGTTTTCTTTACCAATCCCGCCACCCCAAGGATGATGGTATGCTTTTTTTTTTGCCTTATTGCTGTAGACTTGGATTACATGCCGCTCTTACCCTGGGAGCAGCTTCCACAATCCACAATGAAAGCGTTTTCCTTTAAAGCAGTGGTTCTCAACCTGTGGGTCGCAACCCCTTTGGGGGGTTGTCTAATGACCCTTTCACAGGGGTCGCCCGATTCAGAACAGCCGCAAAATTACAGATAAGAAGTAGCAACGAAAATAATGTTATGGTTGGGGCTCACCACAACATGAGAAACTGTTTTAAGGGTTGCAGCCTTATGAAGGCTGAGAACCACTGCTCTAAAGCAACCTGATTAGCTCGTTGCATGCCATATGTCAGAGCTCACAATGCCGAGCAGTTTCTGTTTGGCAGCAAGTGTAATATAACAAACTGTTCTGCTCAAATTTTGACACCATACACACACCCAGAATAGCTTTGTGATGAAAATATTTGTTGGATTCTTACTGCTTTTGAAAAATGTATCTAGCTCAAAAGTTGAGTGGAAAGAAATTTGTTTCATTTTCTGAACTTGGCTTTCCTGCATGTTTCTGTAATTGCTCCTGGGAGGCTTCTACTTATTTTTTTTTTGCTGATAGTTTGCTAACTTCACAGCACTCCCTGGTGTAATGACACAGTCTATTGCAGGATTACTCAGCATGCCACGTACTCTCTGGCTTGTCTTTTGGCAGCTTATATGTTTGAATAGTCATTAACAATGCCCACATGTGAGCCTGTTTCTTCTTAAAGTTTTCTACTTGGGAACCCCTTTCAAGAGAGAAATTTCCAACACTGGCAATCACTGCACTGCAAGAAACATTATGTGTTGATTTTGAAATAATTTTTGGTCAATGTGTATTCATAACTTTTTGAGTATTTCCAAATTTTTTCATGACCACAGCATTCAGTTGCCCAACCCTATCTGGGGTCTAGACCCACAATTTAATACACTTCGGGTCAGAGCAGTATTTCTCGAGGTGAGCAGTATCGCCCTTGGGGATGCTGAAGTGATTTTGGGGGCCTGAAGAAGCAGATACCTACACTGTAGCATGATAAATGGAGAAGAGATAGAGTTGTGAAGGACTCAGTCTTGATTGAATATAAAACAATACTCATGGACGTGACAGTCAAAAGATCAAACAACACATTCCATTGGGTAAAACTCCTACCCAAGATTTCTTTAAAGTGTTCAAAAGCAGGAATGTTACTTTGAGGACTGACGTCCACTTGACCCAAGCCATGGTATTTTCTATTGTCTCATATACATGTAAAGGTTGGACATTGAATAAGGAAGACTAAAGTAAAGGTGAAACTACAGAAGGGTCTTGGGGACGAGACAAGCCAGTCAGTATGTAGTATAGCACTGATGAAACCTACAACTTTCCTCTAATTCTTTAATGCCCCCCCCCCACTATCATGATCCCCATTCTGCCTTGCAAATCTGGCTAGACCAGAACATGTACCTGGAGGTACAGATAAGAGCTGGAAACACAGGGAATTCAGGACAGATAACACTCACAGGACCAATATTGAACGTAGCCATACCAGGAGGGTAATGGGAAGGTGGAAGGAGAAAGGGGGAACTGATCACAATGATCTACCTATAACCCCCTCCCAGGGGTATGGACAACAGAAAAGTGGGTGAAGGGAGACATCGGTCAGTGTAAGATATGAGAAAACAATAATAATTTATAAATCATCAAGGGTTCATGAGGGAGGGAGAGGAAAAATGAGGAGCTGACACTAAGGGCTCAAGTAGAAAGAAAGTGTTTTGAAACTGATGATGGCAACAAATGTGCTTGACACAATGGATGGATGGATGGGTTGTGATAAGACTTGTATGAGCCCCCAATAAAATGATTAGAAAAAGAAAGAAAGAAATGTTGATGCGCTTGGATTACGGTGCTGGCAAAGAAGACTGAGGGGACCGGACTGCCAGAAGAACAAATACATCTGTCCTGGAAGCAGTGTAACCACAAAGCTTCTTAGATGCGTGGATGGCAAGCCTTCATCTCATGTACTTTGGAGATGCTATTAGGAGACACCAGTCCCTTGAAAAGGACATCATTCTTGGTAAAGTAGAAGGGCTGTCAAAAAAGAGGAAGACCCTCAGTCAGATGAATTGATACAATGAATTCAAACTTGTGAAACCTTGTGAGGATGGTGCACTGTATATACACAGTGTTTTCTTCACTTGTACGGAGGGTCACAGTGAGTTGGAACTGAACTAATGGTATCCCAAAACAGCCCACCTGGTCTGTCACTTTATCACACTGTGGTGGCTTGTGTGTTATTGTGATGCAGGAAGCTATGCCACTGATAATTTCAAATGCCAACAGGGTCACCCCGAGTGAACAGGTGTCACCAGAACTTCCAGACAAAGAATAGACTATAAAGAAGGAATAAACTGTCCACTTTGTAGGAACTAGCCACTGAAAACCTTATGGGTAGCCTCAAAACATTGCCAGATACTCTAAACCTAATGAATAGAAGCAAAACATTGTCAGATAGTGCCAGAAAAAGTACTCAAAATATGACCAAGGGAAAACTACCTTCTTAAGTACAGTCGACCGTAAGGATGTGGACAGAGTTAAAACTTTCATTTACTGGTGGGGCACAACTCAAAATGAGGTTGAAACAGCTGCAAACATCAATAATCAGAACTTGGAATTACCAAGCATGAATGTAGGCAAATTGGAAGTTGTCTAAAATGAAACACACTGAATAAAAACTGATATCCTAGGCATTAGTGAGCAGAAATGGACTGATATTCGCCATTTTGAATCAGAAAATCATGTTTTACTATGCTGGGAATGGCATCAGGCCAAGAGGAATGACTTTGCATTCCTTGTCAAAAA